AAGATATATGTACTATACATTAATATATAAATAATTCATCATTTCAATTCATATGAATGTTTGTTCGTTATGAATATAAATTTATTTAAAGAAGATGTATCAAAAAGTGACATTCTAATATAACACCACACACACCAAATATCATCACATCGTGTTTTTTTGGAAAGTCTCCTCATAAAAACATTCACTTTCTTGATTTAGATTAGGGGTGGGCATAACGGTTTGGTTTAACCGAACCGAACCGTACCAAACCGAACTAAACCGAACCGAAATCGAACCGTATGCAATTTGGTTTTAGTTTGGTACTATTTCTTTCAAACCGTATTAAACCGAACCGAACCAAACCGAAACCGATAAAAACCGAACAAAACTGAACCGAACCGAACAACACACACACTTTGTATTTATCTTCACTCTTCATTTTAAGATATAAATAAAAAATTTAGACATGAAAATGCATATTTAAGAATACTCGTATTATTTTAACTTTTACACATTTCAATCATTCATTATGACAAAGTTAGCTAATACGACATATTTGTATTTATTATGTTTGGCGATATCAATAGCAAATTGTATTTATATTTCTATTTCTATTTCTGTGTGAGTCTTTGGTTTAGTTTGTTTCAATTGGTTTAGCAGGTGAAGACAGGTTGTTTAAGCTAGGTTCTAGTATTTCATTTAGTTGGAATTTCAATTGGCAGGCTGTTTAAGCAGGTGAAGGCAGGTTGTTCAATTGGTTTGGTGAAGGCTGGTTCTAATACATATTTCATTTAGTTGGAATTTCAATGAAAACAAAACATTCAAAATTACTCAAAGTGGATTGTAAAATATGAAACAAGACATAATTATTTTCAAGTTTATAAACCGAACATCAAACCGAACACCAAACCGAACCAAACCGAATTTTTCCCAAACCGAACCGAAACCAAACCGAAATTCTTTTGGTTTGAGTTTGGTACTATTTTCCTCAAACCGAATAAACCGAAACCGAACCGAAACCGATAAAAACCGAATCGTAAACCGATTCGCCCACCCCTAATTTAGATGCATATATGTTTCGTTCGGGGGTATGATACAATCTCCCTCAAAATAATTATCTCTTCGAAAATGGAATGGCTCCTAGTAGTTTATGTGGAAATCAATGCTCCGTACTACTACTATACATTTGCAAAACAATACTACCAACTTAGGACTTAATTGAACAAAAATAATACTCCCTCCGTCTCATAAAATTTTTTTCGCATTGACTTGGATCGGAGTATAAGAAAGTGAGAATAATGTGGAAATATATGGTTGTGATTGTGTAAGAAAAAGATGAATGAATGTGAGTCACACAAAACTTTTCAAAAGGGGAAAGTGAAATAATTTTTTGGGACGGCCCAAAATGGAAACCGGGAACAATTTTTTGGGACGGAGGGAGTAATCACCTCTCATTATTTTTATTTGATTAACTAATGTGTAAATAATTCAATAATTGCACTCAATAGAAATTATTTGATAATTTAATTTCAATTAGAAAGTTGGGCTTTATATTAAGCACGTAGATTTTATATTTTAAACGGAGGTGCTAATTATGTAATCTTTTGGTTCTGTCTAAAAAATAATCATTGATTTTTTATGCAAGCATATCAAGGCATATTAAGGAAACCGTTCATATCAAACTATGTAATTGAAATTAGAGACAGATAATAAGCTAATTAGTAAGAGTGCATGGTGGCAGAGGGTTCACTCAAATGGAGTTAAGAGCATCCACAACAAGGATATTTAATTCAGTTTTCATAATAGACACTGCTTTAATTTGCCACATTAGTCATGACCAAGTTCATTTTTTCCACAACTGTGTCATATTCAGGGGCGGAGCCAAGGGGGGGTCAAGGGGGTCAGCCGACCCCGCTGAAAGTTTGAGAGTATAGAGCTCTGAAATACCTTCGATTTGATATATTATGGCCCCCGTAACTCATTACGAGTAAAAAGTTATGACTTCTGGAAAATCAGCACTATCTAAACGTAAAATCAGCAAAATTTGATGCATAATATTGATTATTTTCCCAAATTTTATGAATAACGTATAATTAATTCATTAGTTACGTAACATGATTCAGAAATAGGGCAAAGACAGTATATCTTATTGCTTACGAATGCTTATTTATCTAAACTACAAATGAAACATTCAATTCGAACATTGTCTAAAAACGATGTACCATTTTCATTTTGTGCATAGTTGATTTTCGACCCCCCTGACCCATTTTTCTGGCTCCGCCACTGGTCATATTCATGGTTTAATGTGCTAATAATTCAAATTTGAGTGTAAATTAATTTTTCCTAGTCCCTTTCATAGCGAAATTGGGTCAACTTTTGGAACTAAGTTCAATCGAGTTTGATACGCCAAACTCTATATAAACATCAATGTGTGTTATAATTAATGATGCACATAACACTTTGAAAATTACATTTAACACATTTAACTTCTTCTTTTTTCAATAATTAAATTTATTCATTGATGAGATTTTGTGCATTGTTATATTAATCAAAAATTATAACACAAGGAGATTTAATGTATTTTCAAACCACAATGAACTAATGTAAAACATTTATATATCACGAGGGATTTGACTCATAAAACTCAAATTCAACATTTAAATATTGAATACGTAGTATAATTTTGCAATGATAAATGTCAATTTGAAGTTTCAAAAATGAAACTTGAACTCTGCTATTGTGATCCTCGAGAAATTTGCTCATAATAGGACCAAATCATAGCTCTTTTACAAAAACAATACCTACTAATGTTTTTTTCATTCATATTACTTATTTAGTTCTAGATTAGGAAACATATTTCTAACTTTCTAAATTTGCCCTTCAGGCCAAAAAACTTCCGCCAACCTAGCTTCTTCCGCAGGACCTCGTCGCTGCCGTAACCAGACGCCGTCGCCATTGCCGGACCTCGTTGCTGCCGTAACCAGACGCCGTCGCCATTGACGGACCTCGTCGCTGCCGTTGCCAGACGCCGCCGCCGGTGCCGGTGCCGGTGCCGGATCTGCCATACTCTGATTTTGGGTCCGATTTGGGGAACGATTGGGGACCGCCGCTGCAGGTGGGGTCCGATTCGGGGCCGCTGTTGTTGGGGTCCGATTTGGGGCCGCCGCTGCCGCCGGTGATGGTGTTATGGCTGAGGTTTGTGCGAACTGGCTGGAGAAGGACATGGGGGAAGAACAGGAGCGGGGATGGGGAGCAGGGGAGGAGGGTTGGGGACAGGGGGTAGGGCTGGATGTTGGGGGTGAGGGCGGGGTGGCTGGATGTTGGTGGTGAGGGCGGGTGGCTGGTGGTGGTGACTGGCGGTGACCACCGGGAATGGCTCTGTCACTGTGACGCTGGCGGCATAAATGGGAGGGTAAGGGGAAGTTTATTGTCTACTTATTGTCTATTTATTGTCTATTTAATGTCTGTTATTTTCTAAAAGTAAGGGTATTGTGGTCAATGTAGGTGTAGTTGAGTCTTATACTAATCTTCGATCTTAGTTTTGGAAAATCCTTACGTTTTGCTCCTACTTGTTGAAATCTCCCTGTGATCCTCTAATAATTCAATTGATTGGATAAATTGAGCTTTTATAGACCGCTTCATAGGGTCTGAAATATTTGTATCTCATGCAGATTATTTAATTTACAGGTATCCATGTTCTGATATTCCACAAGATTCTTTTGGACTGTTTTCAGTCCCAGACCAGACCAGACTTAAACAGACCAGACCAGACCAGACCAGACCAGACTTAAACAGACCATACCAGACCAGGCTTGGATAGTTATAAAATACAGAGAGACCAGACGTTTACCAGACCAGACCAGACCAGTTCAAACTAGACCAGACCAGACTTAAACGACCAGACCAGACCAACAAATTTCAGTCCAAAAGAAAACATCCATAGTCGTTTAGAGCAATAGGTGCATAACATGGGACAAGGTTGATTACTCTGAACAAATCAAACTAGAACATTGAAATTCCCTTGACCAAAACCAACTAGAGTTAAGGGTTAGAAAGTGGAGAATTTTCCAAACATTACTAATAAAAACTTATAGATAAAAACATGACTATAAGCCGGTTTGGTAATACCCAAATCAGCTGTATTCGCTGCTTTTGCTGAAATTTATGAAATTCTGACTGATGTGACTGGATTGGCAGAGTTTGCTGATTTGTAAAAATATTGTATTCAAAATATATTTTTATTAATTAAATAAAAAAAATTATCAACAATGCTTGATGTACCCACTCTTATACCCACATTATACCCACCATGTTTGTTAAGTGTTTTTTTTTGTCTGTGAACTGGGGTTCACAGACAAAAAAACACTTCACACACATAGGTGAGTACAAAAGTGGGTATAAGAGTTGGTACAAATATCATTTTTGAAAAATTATATGTTGAAAAAGTAGCCTAAATGATTCTTTACATTAACTTCAGTCAATACAACTATAAAATTAACTTCAACCTTATTTTATCTTATTATTACACAATTCAGTGCATGGAATAAAAAGTTACGTGCTTGGTAAAAAAATTGGCTGATGAATCTAATAAAGTCGAAAAACAATGTCACCTAACGAGCTCTATAAGTTACTATGAGTTAGATTTATAATCACTAACATGTAACATTTGGATACAACTATAGTCACTATAGTTACTAATATTGCATTTTTATTTACTACTACCTCCATCCCGGAGGCAAGTTTTCACTTTCCTTATTTGGATTTCCCAAAAGAAACTTCTCATTTCCCTTAATGGAAAGTTATCCTACGTCAAAACAGTACCAAACAGTGCAAAAACAGTGTCAAACAATGTCAAAACAGTGTCAAACAGTGTCAAAACAGTGCCAAACAGTAAAATTTATCCTTCAGTAACTTTGTTTTCTTAAAATGTGTTAAAGTCAACCCGAGACCTTCTCTCTGGGACGGAGGGAGTATTTCTAATTTGATTATATATTTCAAATTATTTCTAAAAGAGGAGTGGGGAATTTAACTTTAGAATATAGAGTAATAAAAAACTTTGAGATACTTTGGATTAAGACGTGCTTTCAATCTCTTACTAGTTGTCCACTATTAGGACACAATTAATAATAGTAATGATAATAGGAAACCAAATAGTTCCACTAACTGATAATGACTCTGATACAGTAAACTGCGATTAAATTAAAAAAAAATCAAATTACAACCAAATCAAAGCCTAAAATCCATGCACTAATTATAACCTTCCTAAACTCCGTCTAGATGCCTATCACTATCGCCGTTACCGTTACACTTGCCCAAATATGACGCATATCTACCTACGCGGCTACGCCTACCATTGATACCCAACGGTGCCGGTCCACCCTGGCGTCTAAACGGTCGTCGCTCCGGCACCGGCGCCGGCTTCCTTCCTCCGTCTCATCTCTAAAACTTTCCGGTGACTATTGGAGTGCTTCACTCCAGAGAAGGTCGGACTGCACGCCGGTCTATACTCCGGGAAAAGCCGGCCGGACTTGTACCTAACTCCGCAAGCGTTACACAGAGTTTTCGGGCCCATCGGCCCGGTTCGCCACTGTGGAGTCTTCTGAACCTGACAATGACTGCACCGTCGCAGTGAACCGGCGCCTGAACCGGTCTCCGCCGTTGACTCTCTTCTCTGCTTCTTCGCCGGCGGCCCTTCTATGCCGCCGCCGGAAAACGATGAAGATGGCTCTGAAGGTAGTGGTAGGGCCAAGTATGACCATAGCTGCCGGGTTATCCTGAGCCTTTTGCTCCTCGGTTTTCTCTGGAAGGCCGGGATTACCACCGGTTCACGCCGGTTCTCCGGGACATTCCCGGTTCCCGGCTGAAGACAGGGGTTGGGCAAAAACGATGACAATTCCGATGAAGAGTCATCCACGAATTGCGATAACCACTCGAGATTCTCCATATCGTAAGCCTGCAAAAAAGGGTAAAAAGATTACTCTTTTCCTTTTACGGGGTAGAATTTTTCAACTAATTAAGTCAAGAAAGTACGCCGGTGGGAAAATTCAACTCTGTAAAGGAAAATTACATACCGGCAGGGGAGGTTGGCCGGAAGAAAGAGCGGCGAAGTCGTCGTTGCCGGAAAAAGTCAGGGAGTCGGAATTCTGGCGGTGCTGAGGAGAAGACACCAAACAGAAATTGGGTTTCCGGCCGTCGTCTTCCTCGGAGTCTAAAGACGACCGACTCCCGGTGAAATCTTCGCCGGAAAAGTCCAACAGGTCGTCGATGGAAAAATCGTCGCTGCCGCTATTAACGTTGTTCAGGCCGGTCAAACACCAAACGTCGTCGAAAAAAACTTGTGGGTTCGATTTCATTGATATTTTCTTGAGGGCGCTGGACTTAAACGCTCTGGCTTCAATACACTCCATTTCAATTTCTCTAGAGAAAGCCAGGGATGAAATTAAACTTATGAAAAACAGAGAATTCACTGACAAAAGGGTATTGGGAGATGAACTTAGTCCGTAGAATATAAGTATATAAGCGAGCAGGTAAGATATGGGAAGAAGAAAGAAGTAATTACTCTACCTAAAATGAAGACGCCGAAAGTGGGAAGAAGAGAGGAGAGAAGATATACGCAAGGGTAAAGGGAGTTTGGGGGAAAGCTCTGAATTGATGGCGAAATTGGTGGTGGGTTATTGTTTTCCCGTTCTTCGCCTTATTATTACTCCGCATTCCAAAATCAATAAAGGAAGATTCCATGGTGCCTCGGTTGTTTTATGGGTATGGTAGCATGCTTAAAGATGTTTTTACTTTTCGTCTTAGACTACATAATACTCCATATATCAAACTAAATTTAAGACTTTTATTCATGAATAGTACTCTTACTCGTGACATTCATATCTTTCGTTTAAGAATAAGTGAGATTATAAAAAGTTAAAAGAGATATATTTTTTTAAGAATATGATGGGAATATAATGAAATAGGGTGCTCGAATGAGAGATAATTCCAAAAAAGTAGTTGTAATAGAGTGTTGTTTCCAAAAGTATTGAGGTATGATGTGCATATTTAGAAATGAGCAGATATAAACGCTATGAATAAAAATGGATAGTAAGAAGATATGAATGTTACGAGAAAATACTAAATTAAATTCAAAAGACAATAATATAATTTGTTTTAAAAAATTTCAAAAGGTGACATATTTAGTTACTTTTTCCCAATGACTCATCATCTACCAATGAATTGTCATTGTCACATTCACTAGAAATCTATAATGATTCTTTTTCCAGGTACTCTTTCACAGTGGCTAATCATATTTTTGTCTAAAAATATGACTAGTCATATTTTTGTTCGATGAAACTATGTTAGTAATATATATGTCATTTTTTTAAGGCTAAAGGGTTAAATAGGCCCTCGAACTAACTTAAAAAGTGCAATTCACCCCATATATAGGAGCCTCTGTTCGGCCGTCGCTAATTGGGGCAGTTCCCGGTAGAATTTTTTTATGAATTTTTTTTGTCATCTTCTTCATTAAATCTAGTTTACCCATACAAAATTACAGATAAAAATTCAACCAGGAAAACAGTCAAATGTTTAACTGCGCAGTTATCTTCAAAAAGTCATTTGACTGCTTTCGCGATTGAATTTTTAGGTGAAATTTGGTATGAGTAAACTAGACTTAATGAAGAAGATGCTCAAAAAATTTCATCTGAAAATTCCACTGGGCCGCCCCAATTTGCGACGGCCGGAAAGAGTCTCCTACATAAGGGGTGAATTGCACTTATTAAGTTAGTTCGGGGGCCTATTTGACCCTTTAGTCTTTTTTCTAATTTTAAACAAAAATGTGCAAATACATCCTTAAAATATGCTCCTCTCGTCTCACTCAATTTCGCCAACTATTCTTTTTTTGTTTGTTCCAAAAACTTTGTCATTTTTCTTTTAAAGCAACGAGCGTGTGGTTTTGTGTGTTTCTCTCTCTATGTACAAACCTCAAACTAATTCGTATTTGGCACAAATTTTATTTTTCTTATTTATCACCTAATTCGAATTTGGCGAAGTCCATTGGGACGGAGGTAATATATAGATATGCCCGTAAACTTCTAAAAGGCGCAAAAAATACATAATATTCCTATAGAGGAGAAAATTAGCCTTTGATGATTTTAAATAAATTAAAAAATTAAAAAAACACTAAAATATTAAGATTTATTAGGTTTAGAAAATGGAAATATTAAAAAATGAAAAACGTATTTTTCTTAAAAATAGAATAACTTATATAAAAAATAATTTCGTTATTCAAATGAATAAAAATACAGACTTATTTTATGTTAAATATAAACACTTTAGTTCTAAATTGCAAAAATATTATTTTCCCCTTGTAAGAAAAGCACTTCTTATTCATAATATTAATTTTAGTATTCTTGTAAAATTTAGATTACATTGGTACATTTTTAATAGCATTCTTTGGTGTTGTTTATAATTAATAAAATTAAATCCATTATTTTGTAATCTTAGACTATTTATCATCATACAAAATATGTTAAGTAAACCTTATCTTGCAAACAACACCAAAAATTGATGATTTTTTACATTGCAACACATAAGTTAACACTTTTCCGGAAGAACCATAAATGTATAATAGAGTTTTGAAACAATTGTTATACAAACAATATTACATTTTGAAATAAAAATATAAAAAAGGAAAATTGGACACAAAATAAGTTTTTAAAATTTCATCTTTTCAATTTTTAAATTTCAATATATAATTTATATAATTTATATTTGGTGTTTTTTAAAATTATTTTTTTTAAACGCGATAATATTAGGGCTAATTTGCTCGTTTATAGGAACATTAGGGGCATTATTACAACTTTTAGAACTTTAAGGATACATTGGTACCTGCAAATATACTTTAAGAGTATTTTCATATTTCCCCACACACCAGATCAGACTTTAGTAGATCACTGTAGACCTCGATACTTATTACTACAGACACATGGACTAGATCAATTAAAAGCAGACCAAACCAGATCAAATCGACTAGACTAGATCAAATCAGATCAGGGTAGGCTAAAAAAATTAGTCTAAATTTAAAACATTACAAGTGGACAAGTAAAAATTAAAGAATTTACATATAGATAATTTAAAAATAATGATATTGTAGCTAGACATTCAATTTAAGTAAATTAAATGTGCATTTTAGTCACGGACTCATGGGAAGTGATAATAGCTACTAGACTGACACTTTGAAATAGGGTGTAAGTGAATAGAATACTCCCTCCGTTCTAATATAAAAGGCACATATAGCCATCAACTAGTTTGTCGACTTTCCCTTTGCACAAATTCGAGACACCTACAACAAAAGGAATTGAACCTGCATCGGTTTCTTAAATTTGGTTCAATCTGTTTGGCCCCTTTTCAAAAGCATTTGATCTATTAAATTCACACGATTTCCTTTCAAAAAACAAAATTTGTAACAAATTGTTTAATGGCTCAATAGATTCGACCCCTTACATAATGTTGAAACTTGAAAGCATGGCTTGTTGAAAAGAATTGGATCAACATATGCTCCTTTGTTAATGTGATTCAATCTGCTGTCCACAAACTAAACAATTGCATTTTCACTCACACATTCGTCCGCCACCTTGCCACGATCTCCATCCACCGATTCTCGAGGGACTGAGAATGGGTCTAGATGTGAGCATCGAGGCAAGCTGCATGATCCGTGTTGTAGTCCTTCCAATTGGGACAATTCCAATGTGGTTAGCCACCACACCATATCACTCTCCTCCATCAACTCCTACACAGATCACCAGAAGTCACCGTTCTCCCACGAACCTTGGGAGTGACTCCGACAACCTTCAAGTCCTTGGCATTTGCCACTAGCCCACTACCCTTCAGGCCTTCATCCCCTGATCTCCACTATGTGACCTATCAGTTTACCACTTCCTGACACGGTTAACCGACTTCACAGAGGGAAAGTCATCAAACTGGTTGACGGTAGGGCTGGACTCAGTTCGGGCCGGGCCCGGTTCGGGCCTTGAACCGGCCGGGCCTCGGTTCACCAAAAGGAGGGCCCGGGCCCGAACCGGCAGGTGACCGGTTCCGGGCCAGACCGGGCCGGTTCACCCGCCCCATTTTTTTTTTTTTTTTTGATTTTTTGGCTTCTCTTATTTAACCCCCTATCCCTCCCCCTCAACCCCAAACCACCCCAAACCACCTCAAATGGCCCAAAATACCTAATCCAACCCAAAAATTAAAAAAATTTCAAAAAAAAATTAAAAAAAAAAAATTAATCCGGCCCGGACCGGGCCCGAACCGGCCGGGCCGGTTCACCAAATAGAGGGCCCGGGCCCAAAACCGGTATCCACCGGGCCGGTTCGACCCGAACCGCCGGTGGACCGGGCCACCGGGCCGGGCCGGTTCACACAGTAACCGGGCCGGGCCGGTTCTGGTTCGGGCAGCCCGGCCCGAGTCCAGCACTAGTTGACGGTTTGCATGTCACCATTCCATATTTCCATTGGGCGGTTTTTGTTAACCACAATTCCTCCCAACAACATTCCATTAAAAAATTTTAACCCGACCCTAATTTCACAAATAATTATTAATTAGCATTAGTTCGAAAAAAACTCTGAAATGAGTGTGTGTAATTGAAATAATATGTAAATAAGATAAAAATATGCATTGCACCCACAAGGACGAAGGTGCATTCTACAATTAATGCACCTCTAGTTCAAAATAAGTTTTGTTGTATGGGTCTTTCACGAGTACGAGCACTAAGACACACATAAAACACCACCACCACCAGAAGCACTCTTAATTAATACAGTATTATCTAAAAAAACATATAATTGCTCTCAGAAGTGAAAATCCCTACTACAATTACATTTTTACAAGACAGAGATTACTTAATGAAGGCTGTCAAATACGTAGCCTAACTAGGAAAATGAGTGCATACTAAACTACTCTTCCTGTTTCTTATCTCCAGAGTTTTCTTCTAAAAAAGCCTTTCTTCTGCAAACTTTTGAGCTCATTCCCTGAAATATTATCCCACAAAGATTAGTTTATGAATCATTAAACGAATTACTATCAATTGAAGCATATTTATGAATTGAAAAAAGAATTCATTGGCCGAGTTGTTTGTTAATAATAATAAAAGAAACTCCACAAATTAGCTTTATAATGAGGATAAATGACGCATATCCTAACCTCTTGGACATTATTTTCTTTTAAGTTATGAAGAAATATACAATGCACACTTTTTAGCTAATTCAATCCAATCAGCAATTTCAATAGCCTCACCAGATTCATCGCATTCACACCCCTTAAATATTTATAGCCACCAAACAAGCACTTAAGAATGAAGACGGAGTGAGCATGAGGAATTACAGTACTGGAAGGGTAAGAATCAAGAAAGCAGTTTTTATAGATTTTCTAGAAGCATAATTAGCCCGCCTACCAATTTTTCCAAAATAAATAATGAAATAAAAAAAATGCTGGATCTATTTCATTTAAAAATTTAATCTGGTCTTCATGAATCTCAATCAAAGCATCAAAGGGAACAACTTACCCTCAAGTCTTCCAGCCCGGTATAGTGCTTCTTCAGCAATAGGTCTCCACTGTTCAGCAACAGAGTAATTAATTCCAAGTCCAACACTAAGACCTCTAAGCAAATGCACAGTGCGAAGAACTGAGAAAAGTTCCTCTGGAAAAGCCTACATAATCATATTAGAAGAAAATCAAACATGAGAATTATGAGTATGACGTATAAATGTCCCAATTCTCATTAACATGAATGCAAGATTTGCGAGCATACCGGAACAGCAATCTTTCTAATTGAAGATCCTTCTGAGAAAGGTTGAAGCATTGTCACACCAGGGGGTAGTTTCGTATCAAACAT